GGGGAGCCCGGCTTGTGCCGCTCCTGCCGGTAGGAGTCGACCAGTGGCTGTGGCACCAGTTCCATCAGCTCCAGGCTCTCCTTGACCTTCATTAGGATCTCGAAGTTCTCCCGGCCTCGCACCTGAGCACGGACAGGTGGATCCTCTGCCCAGGTGCATGTGGGACTTTACCCGGCCCCAGACCTCCAGTGGGAAGTAATAGCCATGCCTCAAGAGAACCTGGGCTTGTGGGAAAGTGTCTCTCCCTTCAAGCTTCCCTGGCATTCCAAAGGCTCTGGATCCTTTGACCTCCTTTCCTCTTCCCCAGGAGCAGGTCTGACCAGAGACTCTGACTGCGAGCAGGTCTTCTGTCCATGGGAAACATGCCCACTCCTCTCTGTCCTGAACCTGTGTTCCCTCCTCCCTTGACAGAAGGCTTTAGTTTTGTTGTTGGGGAGTTTTTTGGGGGAAGAGGGAAGTGGGGAGACTGGATTTTTAAATGAGGACTCACTCTTGAAGAACTCAAAAAGTTAAAGGCTCACATTATGGAAGACAAATTCTATCAAGGCTAGAGTGTCCTCACAGGTGACAGTGGTACACACATGGATAGAGTCATGTGACCTGCCAGACGTTAGGGTTGCACAGTTCTCACTGAATTTCTACCATGCTGGGAATCTGTGTCATTAAGACGTCATTGTAAAGTGGGTTTGCATACTGCAGATTTGTGTGACCTAGAGCTGCTGGCTTAGTGGACCCTGTTTGTTCTCCCTGAAGTCCAGCCCTGTATGGTCTAGCTTCCTGTGACTGGTTCTCCTTTTTTGGCCCTGCCTCCTGCAGGGCCTGGAGTCTCAGCTCTCCGAGTGTGCTGGGGACACCCCTGCCTGCCCCTGATGGCCTCTAGGTCTACACCAAACTGGGCTCTGCAGATGACAGGTCCAGGCCGGTCTCAGTTCCCCAGGCCCCGCTGGCTGAGAGCACACACTCACATGCATGTAGTATGTGTCCTCGTCCCCATGCCGCCTCTTCTTCACACTGGCACCCAGGGCAGGGATGGCAGGGGGGCTCTGCTTGAATGCTGGAAGGTGAGGCAGGGAAGGCGGATAAGCTGGTGGGGAGGAGCCAGGCCACACACAGAGGACAAGGAGTGGGCTGGCTGAGGTGGTCGGGATAACCACCTCACTCATGTGAGTTAACCCTCGAGAGGGTGCAGCGTGAAGACAGATCCAGAGACAGGGAACCCACACGGATGGGCAAACCTAGGCGGCTGCCTATGTTGGACAGAGCTGGGCCTGGGGCACACAGGGGCCCATGACCTCTTAGCCTGAAGTGCCCTTGGCTGAGGCTCAGGGATGAGGGGACTTTCTAGGGGTTGCACTGACCTGTCCTCTGGACACAGGCTCATGCTGCGCCCTCCTGGCATGTCAGCCCAGCCTCTGGGAAACATTTAACTCTGTCCCTGGACAGGGCCTGGCTCTCACATTCCAGGGTTGCTGGCCCCACTCTGGCCGGGAATCCCACTCACCACGTTTGCTGGTGGACCCATTCTTTGCAGTGCTCTCATTCAGGGCTTGCTGCTCTCGATAGTGGTCCTCGTCAGCTTTGCGGTCACGGCCAGGACAGGCACAGATACGTCCCTCAAAGGACCGGCGGCCCAGGACCTGTCCACTGTTGGGTAGGCACAGCTGGAACTGTGAGCTTCATGGGTATACTCCCAGCCCTGCCTCCCCCCATCGACCATGAATCCCACAGGACTGGCCTTGGTGGGCTGAGGAAGTCGGGGGCTTGTTACCCAAAGAGAGCAGCAAGAGATTTCTGGCCAGAGGGAGTCCCCGGTTCAAAACTGTGAGGCTGCTCTGAGATATCAACCTGGGACTCCCTTGTTTCCCACTGAATGCCCAGCTTCTGCCCAAGCAGCCTCTGCAGGTCAGTGTAGGCCCTCCCTCTTAGCAACACAGCCTACAGAGCCCCTCCCTCACACTCTCCACCAGGGCTTGGGCCCAGTCATTGGCCTTGATCTCCCTGTCTCCACTACAAGTTCCCCCATCAGTGCTGGCCCAAGTCCTTGCCCCAACTTCATTCTCTATGCCCACCAGACTCACTCCCGCGTCTCCAGGGTGATGATGATGAGGATGGGCCGCCGATTCATGCCTCCCACACAGCTGCTGTTACACATGAAGTTGTATAGGATGGTGGTGAATTCTGTTCCTACCTATACAAAGGGAGACAGAGAAAGCTTGGCATCTGCATGTAGGCCCTGAGCCACTAAGGTGGAAACCCCCACCTGGCCCTGGCTCTGGGTAGACATGGAAGTGGGCTGCTTTGTGGTTCTGTCACCCATACATTCATCTATCCTTCTACCCACCCAGCCATCCCCTAATCCATCTAACCATCTACCCATCCATCCACATATCAATTAATTTGTCATCCATCTACCCATCTGTCCACCTACCATCTGCCCACTCATCTATCCATTCATCTATCCACCCACCTATCCACCCATTTATTCATCTTCCTAATCACTCACCCATCCATCCACTCAACCACCTGCCCCTTCATCCATTCATCCATCCATTTAGCATCTACCTATTCATTCACCCAACACCACCCACCATCCATCCACTCACCCACTAGCCACAAATCACCCATCCAACCACCATCCACTCATCCATCTATCTGCCATTTACCCACTTACCATAAGCCCATCTATCCACTGACTCATCCACCCACCCAACTACTAATCCTTTCATCTATCCATCCATCCATCCACCCATCCATCCATCCATCCATCCATCCATCCGTCCGTCCATCCATTCATATAGTACACTGAGCAACAAGCACTGTGCTGGCTTTGGATGCTGACAAGGATCAGACCTGGTCTTTGCTCAGGGGAAGCACAGAGTCCTGTGGTTGGATTGCCAGGCCATCTTCCCTTACACAGGTTGGAGGTCAAGCCTGGTAGCTGTGTAAGTGGTTGTATGCACAGTCCTTTGTGTCACAAGAGCGTTTTGAACAATGGGGCTTGTCGGGCAGAAAGATGCTGCCAAAGGAAGGCCTAGGGTTGTCCAAGAGACTCACCCCTGCCAGCTACTCTCGTTTCCCAGGGAGTCTCTAGCAGAGCCAAGATGTGAACTCAGGACCCTTGACCACTGGGTATTCCAGGGCCACAAATGGGCAGTTTACATGATTTTCCTGGTTTAGAACCCAAAACCTGGTCTCCAGTTTCAGAAAACCTCAGCCTTTCTCAGAACTGCCAGCACACAGCAGCCACTAGAGGGCGAGAGAGCCCTGCTTTCCTGGCAGGCCTGGGCAGGGTGGGAAGTGGGTTGCAGCGGCAGTCACACCCTGTCCTTGTTGACATAAGGGCTGCTCTCAGAGGACAGTGGGGTGGAAGCCTGGTGGTATTGTTCTCAGACCTAAGTACAGGGATGGGGATCTGGGCGAGGCAAGGGGTGGGGTACAGGATGGAGGCCTAGGAGTACCTGGTCTCAGAAATAGGTAGAAAAGTTGGGGCAGCTGTTGCTCACCTTAATGCCTCCTCTCTTGGCACCCCATCAAGTTATCACCACTGCAGTACCTCTCAAATCTTCTCTTCTCTCCACCCCAGCCTTTTACCCTAATTGGACCCCACAGCCCTGGAATGATGCTCCCCACCCTAGAACATTCTATTGCCTCAAGTCAAAGGTCAGACATCCACAGCCACTCGGGCCTCTCCTAGTGCAAAATTCACCAGCCCTCTGAGTAACAGCCGTTAAGTTGATTCTGTCTCAGTCACTCCATAGAATTTAAAGATGGAGGACCTCCTTGTCCCAGACCCAGGATAGCCCAGTGTTGGAAATGAACTAGCAGGAAGATGAGACTCACAGGAGGCCAGGGCTGAAGGTCTGGAGATCATTCAACCCACTCCCCACTACAGGGCTGGGGGCACCAAGGTCCTGAGGGTCCAGGGAGGCCCCAGCCCAGAGCCACAGTATACACAGGAGGTGGTCACAATCAAGCACCAGATTCCAGGAAGGGGAAGGGCCTGCATGGGGTGGGGAGGAAGGAGCTCCACAACACAGACTTAACTCAGAGATGGGGTTTCCTCTCAAGGGGGCCTGCATGGGGTCTCTTTCCCCGATCCCTGGGGCCCTGACCTACCTGTGGGGGCTCATAGGGCACCACAACGCTCTGCCTGCCGGTGACGGGGTCGTCCACATACTGGGAGAGGTTGTTGCCCTCCACGCGGATGAGGTGGCTGGCTGGGGCAGACTGTCCTGCTGGGAGGGGTGGCTGCTTCAGAGAGATGTCCAGCCCTATCTGGCCACCCCACACCAGGCACATCATGGCAGATCTGGGACACAGCCTGGTTCCCTGGGCTTGCCAGGGGATTCAGGTGAGAGTCCTGGAGTCCTCTGTATGCTTGGTCCAGTGACACACAGGAGGGAGGGGGACCATCCCAAACAAGCTTCCTGTGGTCACAAAAGGCCAGCTGACCCTCAGACTTCTCCCAGACCACCTGCTCCACCTCTGGAGCATTGGTCCCCCAAGGTCCCAGTCAGAACTGAGAGGAAATGGGCCGAGGGTTGGGAGAAGGTGGAGGCACTTGTCGAAAGCCCCAGGTGAGCGATTGGCCGAGTCCCCATGATTAGGCCCCACCTACCAGCCCTCTCCTTCCCAGCAGCAGTGCCCAGACTTCTGGGGATAGTGCCACCATGGACCAGGGGGTGGAGGGACCCTCACCTTCGTTGAAGTCCCTCCCAAGCTCATGGTTCGGGCAGCGCTTCACAATGTCCGTCACATGCTCCGCTTTCTTGTAGACAGGCATGGCCCGGATGGCGGTGCCCGGGGGTGGCGGGGTGGACACCTTGATCTGGATGGGGCACGTCTTGGCGATTTGGCAGTACAGCTTCTTCAACAGCGGGGAGTACTGCAGGGGGAGGGCATCCAGGCTGACACTGGCAGTCTCAGCTCCGTGCCCTGGCCCAGGCTGTGCTCGGATTGAGTGCCATCCCCCCCACAGGAGCCGCTTCCTCAAGCTCTGTGAGGACCACCCACTGCATCCCTTGCCCACCCTGAGTATCCTTCCCCACAGCAAGGACACAGGCGTGTCTGCCCCTGCACCTACTCCACAACCATCTGGGTGATTTGGACTCAATGGCAGCCAATTTTTGGTTGTTTTAAAATGTTATTCTTTCCTTTGAGAGACAGAGGAAGAGAAAGAAGAAATAAAGATTCTCATCTGGATCTCACGCTGTGATCTTCCCCACCCCACCCCAGCCTTTGAGCTAGCTAGAATGTGCGTGCATGCTAGATGTGTGCAGGTTGACCTGAAGACCAAATCCCAATCATTCGCGTGACTTGTGGCGTGGTAGAGCATTGTCTTACTGTGTGCCACAGTGGGTGGGGCTTCCTCAAATGCCTGCTGCAGCTAGTATAGTCACTTCACATCTGGATCTCATTGGCTGGAAAGGTAGGTACACTACTTCCATTATATGGATGAGGACAGGAAAGGCCAGGAAAGTGGGAAGAAGCTGCTGGTGAGTGGAGGTTGGGATGGAGGACAGGGAGCTGGGTCTTCCTGAGTCAGCTCCACTTTTCCGGATGTGACTCTTAGGTCTCCTGATTGTAGTGGTTTAAGTCTGTTTTAAAAAGAATTTGGATTGTCTGGCCTTTGCACAGAGGACGCACAGCTTTTGGATGGGCCAAGTGTCCCTTTACATTCAAGAGTTGTCAGTTGGTTGGATCATGTGACCTCAACATCCTTCCTCAGGTTGGAGTCATTGAGGCTAAGCAGCTGCAGCTTGGTCTGGGCACATTGTGTGGGGTGGCTCTGACCACACAGCCCCAGTTTTCCTAGCCCAAAATCAGTGTGTATCCTGTCCTGGGGAGGACTGGCCCTTTCTAATGGAGCCATAGCAAGGACTTCCGGTTCCCATACCCTATATGTCCAGGTTGCCATGAGAACCCAGGCCAGCTCTTGAGAGTTCTAAAAGGCCGCCACAGAGGGCCCTCCTTGTTCTCAGTCTGCCTGATTCCTGTAGTGTCTGGCTCCCGAGGAACCACCTAGGACTCCTCAGGCCCTCTTCCCCAGGGATGGTGGGAAACATTCCCCAGTAGCAGATTCAAAGGACAGTTCCTGCCTCCACCCATATACTTTGCAACTCCCAAAGTCCCCAGTGATTTAGAACCATGGATAACTCCAACCATAAGTGCACAAGGAAGCATCCCAACATATTCCACCATGGTATAGTTGGGGAAACTGAGGCCAGAGAAAGGAGGTTCTAGCAGAGCCAGAGAAGAAGACCACCTATCTAGAGCCTTTCCTTTGCTAAAGAAAATGTGTGTGTGTGTGTGTGTGTTGGGGGAGGAGAGGCTGACATCTTGATACTTGCAAATATAAGGTCCCCTCCCAGTAGGCTTGCAGGAACTGCTTGCACCCTCAGCAGGTGCAAGTACATATAAAGCAAAGAAGGGAAAGGGAAGGGGAGACACAGACACTGGCTGCCTGCTACTCCCACCATGGGCAGAGCCTCGGGTATAGCGGGGTATCCTCGGTCTTGTTGAAAATGTAGGAAAGATGGTCGGATAATGGCACAGCAGTAAAATACCCATATGCTGAGAGAATGATCACACGGGAAGGATCCCAGTTCTCATCCAGAGATCTCTGTGTGTGCTGGGCATGTGAGTGCCATGCCCTCAGGCCTGCCCTGAGGTGGACTGCAGCTTCAAGACCCTGTTGCAGAGGCCGTTTCTCTAGTTATCTCTCATCCTCACTCATGGAAGAAATAAACTTCTTAAAATGCAGGAAAGAACCACAGCGCACAGTTCTGCAGGTGGGGCTTCTTAGAAGAGCAGAAAACAACTTTGTGGGAAGAGC